ACTTAGACAATAGCTGTTTTATGATCAAAGGACAGTATCCAGAGCAAAATTTTGAAAACTATTTATTTTCATTCATCCATATTTTACTGTTAAATGGACTTAGTGTTTTTATACGACTAGGGGGTCAAAAAGGGGGGGGGGGTTTTATGCCAACACTGTAGCGGAGGGGGCATTAAGTTTTTGCCCTTGTCCGTCTGTACATCCGTACGTACTTCCCATAGTTGGTTTCCGTTCTCTAACTTTAGTTTGCCTCAACCAAATGTTTTGAAACTTATACACAATGCTTATTACTACAAAACACAGATCAAGTTTGACTTTTGGTGGCATCACTATAACAGTTCTAGAGTTATGCCCCTTTATAAATGGAAAAATTGCTTAATTTTTCTTTTGCGTTCTCTAACTTTAGTTTGCCATAATCAAATTTTTTGAAACTTATACACAATGCTTATTACCTCAAAATACAGATCTAGCTTGAATTTTGGTGGTGTCACTTTAACCATTCTAGAGTTATACCCCTTTACAAATGGAAAAATTGCTTAATTTTTCGTTTCTGTTGTCTAACTTAAGTTATCCTCAACCAAATGTTATGAAACTTATACACAATGCTTATTACCACAAATCACAGATCAAGTTTGAATTTTGGTGGTGTCACTTTAACCATTCTAGAGTTATGCCCCTTTATAAATGAAAAAAAATGCAGATTTTTTTGTTTCCGGTTTCCAACTTTATTTGCCTCAACCAAATGTTAAGAAACTTATACACAATGCTTATTACCACAAAATACAGATCATGTTTGAATTTTGGTGGTGTCACTTAAACTGTTCTAGAGTTATGCCCTTTAAAAAAAGGAAAAATTGCTGAATTTTTCGTTTCAGTTCTCTAACTTAAGTTAACCTCATCCAAATATCATAAAACTTCTACACAATGCTAATTACCTAAAAATACAGATCAAGTTTGAATTTTTGTGGTGTCACTTTAACCGTTCTAAAGTTATGCCCCTTTACAAAAGGAAAAATTACGGAATTTTTTGTTTCCGTTCTCTAACTTAAGTTTGCCTGAACCTAATGTTAAGAAACTTATAGCACAGTATTGCGCAAAAGCAAGAAATCTTCAATTGCACAGTATTGCGCAATAGCAAGAAATCTTCAATTGAAAATAAATACAAATCTTTTAACCAGTTTCAATGGGATTAATTTAAAGTCTTTAATTTTTGGGGGTTCTAACCTTGTATTACTATTTTGGATATTTGGCCCCATTTTCAAATTGGTCTACATTGAGGTCCAAAGGGAAATTTTTGTTCGATTTCATCAAACAACTGAATTATTGTGGCTCTATGATATGCTGAATCTTATTGAACATTTAGATTTTTTATTTTGGGCCCTGTTTTCAAATTAGTCCATATTAAGGTTTGAAGGGTCCAAAATTAAACTTTGTTTGATTTCAACTAAAATTAAATTTTTGGTGTTTTTTTGTATATGCTGAATCTAACCATGTTGTTAGATTTTGGATATCAGACCATTCTAGGCAAATTAAATGTCCCATTTCAAATTTTTTAGATCTTTGACCACATTTATTTTGTGTCAGAAACCTATATTATGTCAAAAATTTGATCACAATCCAAATTCAGACAGTATCAAGCTTGAATATTGTGTCCAAACTTGCCCAAACTGTTCAGGGTTCAACCTCTCCATCGTATCAGGCTGCTCTCGGCGAAGCATTTTATTTAAGTTAACATAAAGATACAGTCTAATGTTACAGTTTTGAAGACATCAGCTTTATCCTTCATGGAATTTTACAAAACTTGGACTGAAGCTTTTTAATGATCAAAAGACAGTATTCAGAGCAAAATTGAGAATATATTTTCACTTTTCCATATTTTACTGAAAAAATTAAATCAGTTTTTGTCTTGCCTGCGATGAAAGTCGAGTTGGGATTGTGCTTTTCATGGCGGCGATGAATTCAATAATTGTTAAGTTTTCTGCTTAAGTTAGTTTGATAGGAACTTCTTGTGATAGATCAAAGATATTTTCTATAAAGCTGCATTACTATCAGTACATATCAGTTTGACGACTATTTTGGACTCCCCGTCTCTGTAGGTCATGGTCTATTGACTTTCAATTAATCAGCAATTTTCAATGTTAAGTTTTCTAAAGTTTTCTGCTTTAGTTTGTTTGATAGGAACTACTTACAATAGACAACATTATTTTTGTCCCCGCGTAACGCATTGCGAGGGACATGGAAATACCATGTGACCTAGTGTCTGTCCGGTCTTGTTAGCGCTCTCACAGGTACAATTCTTGCCAGATTTTGATAAAACTTATACTAAAGGTTAATATATGCAATATCTCGGACAAGTTTTATAATGGTGGCCGATCGACTTTTTTAAAAAACATTATGCCCCTTGGAAATATTAAATTTATGTAAAATGGCCTCGTTAGTGCTCTCACAGGTACAATTCTGGCCAGATTTTTATAAGACTTATACTATAGGTTAATATCAGCAATATCTCGGACAGTTTTTATAATGGTGGCCGATCGACTATTTTCAAAAGAGTTATGTCCCTTGGAAATATTAAATTTATGTAAAATGGCCTCAATAGCGCTCTCACAGGTACAATTCTTGCCAGATTTTTATAAAACTTATACTATAGGTTAATATCAGCAATATCTCGGACAAATTCTATAATGGTGGACGATCGACTTTTTTTTATGCCCCTTGGAAATATCAAATTTATGGAAAATGGCCTCGTTAGCGCTCTCGTGGGTACAATTCTTGCCAGATTTTTATAAAACTTATACTAGAGGTTAATATCAGCAATATCTCAGACAAGTTTTATAGTGGTGACCGATTGACTTTTTTATGCCCCTGCCGTAGGGTTTGGGGCATTAAGTTTTACCCTTGTCCGTCTGTACGTACGTACGTCCCAAAGTTGGTTTCCGTTCTCTACTTTAGATTGCCTCAACCAAATGTTATGAAACTTATACACAATGCTTATTATCACAAAACACAGATCGTGTTTGAATTTTGGTGGAGTCACTTTAACCGTTCTAAAGTTATGCCCCTTTTCAAATGGAAAAATTGCTGAATTTTTCGTTTCCGTTCTCTTACTTAAGTTTGCCTCAACCAAATGTTATGAAACTTATACACAATGCTTATAACCACAAAACACAGATCAAGTTTGAATTTTGGTGGCTTCACTTTAACCGTTCTAGAATAATGCCCCTTTACAAATGGAAAAATTGCTGAATTCTCTAACTTAAGTTAGCCTCAACCAAATGTTATGAAACTTATACACAATGCTTATTACCACAAAATACAGATCAAGTTTGAATTTTGGTTGTGTCACTTTTACTGTTCTAGAGTTATTCCCATTTATAAATGGAAAAATTGCTGAATTTTTCGTTTCCGTTCTCTAACTTAAGTTTGCCTCAACCAAATGTTATGAAACTTATACACAATACTTATTACCACAAAACTCAGATCAAGTACAATTTGGGTAGTGTCACTTTTACCGTTCTTCAGTTGTGTCCCTTTATAACTTTATATGATTTGCAAGCGGGGGCATCATCTGTGTCCCATGGACACAGTCCCCATTTTTTTAAAAGAGTTATGCCCCTTGGAAATATAAAATTTGTGCAACGCGGGGAACATTGGAACTCTGTTCTTTTATCTATAAAGTTACATTACTGTCTGTATCTCTCAGTTTGTTGACCATTTCTAGGCCCTGCCCACTAGTTTATGGTCCAACAAGAAAAAGTTTGATAGTATTTTTTTCTTTTCCTGTATATTACTGATAAATAAACATTCCTTTTTAACTCACGGTTCCAAAGGAACTGTGAGCTTTTGCCATCACTTGCGTCTGTCGTCGTCTGTCGTCGTCCGTCTGGTGTAAACTATCTCAAACATCTTCTCCTCTGAAACTACTGAACCAATTCCATCCAAACTTAAGCTGAATGATGCTTAGGGTATCTAGAATAAAGTTTGTGTTTTATTTACTGTTTCGTCAAATAACATGGCCACCATGGCTAAAAATAGAACATAGGGGTAAAATACAGTTTTTGGCTTATATCTCAAAAACCAAAGCATTAAGAGCAAATCTGACATGGGGGTTAAAGTGTTCATTAGGTGAAGTTCTATCAGCCCTGAAATTTTCAGTTGAATCTGATAACCCATGATTGCTGCCACTAAATTGGTAATTTTAAGGAAATTTTGCAGTTTTTGGTTATTATCTTGAATATTATTAATGATAAAGATAAACTGTGAACAGCAAAAATGTTCAGCAAGGTAAGATCTACAAATAAGTTCATATGATCAAATTTGTCAATTGACCCCTTAAGGAGTTATTGCCCTTTAAGGACAATTTTACACAATTTGTTTATTATGTTTTCTAACTTTAAAAAATCTTCTTCTCTGAAACTACTGAACCAATTCCCACCAAACTTAAGCTGATTGATTCTAAGGGTATCTAGAATAAAGTTTGTGTTTTATTTTCTGTTTCATAAAAAACATGGCCACCATGGCTAAAAATAGAACGTAGGGGTAAAATGCAATTTTTGGCTTATATCTCAAAAAAAATGCATTTCTTTGATTTTGAAGAAAATATGACAGATACAAAGAACATTTCAATGGAAGTTTTAAGCCATTCATTAATATATATTGAAAAGCAAAAATAATCATTGATAAAAGATTTAAGCAAAAAATTACAGGTGAGCAATTCAGGCTCTTGTTTGGGAGCAGTTTACATTTAGATACAGTCTTGGATTAATTTTTTGACATCAATAGCTCTGTCAAATCTTCATGGCATGTTATGAACCTTCAACAGAAACCTTTTCAAGATCAAGAAATAGAATTTGAGGAAAAAATATGATTTAAAAAAAAATGTCTCCATATTGAACTGATAAAGAGCTCTTTTTACAGTCAACATTACACTTTTACACTGACAGCATTAATTGCAGGTAGGACACAGGGTTTTGGTTGAACCCTTTACAATTTTTTTGTAGGTCCACTGGTTACTCAGATACAACAACATGATAGACAGCTTGGCTTACAAGACATCAGATTAGCAGAACTAGATCTCAGATTCCAGGTTTTGGAAACTGCCAGCTACAGTGGAATACTGATGTGGAAAATAAGGGATTACTCAAGACGTAAACAGGAAGCTATTTCTGGTCGCACTGTATCTCTGTACAGTCAACCATTTTACACCAGTAGGTTTGGCTACAAAATGTGTGCCAGGTTATATTTAAATGGAGATGGGATGGGAAAAGGAACACACCTATCTCTTTTCTTTGTAGTGATGAGAGGTGAATATGATGCATTGTTACCATGGCCCTTCCAACAAAAAGTCACCTTATTGCTACTGGATCAGGACGCTGGAGCTCGTCATGTCTCTGATACCTTCAGACCAGATCCTACCAGTACCAGTTTCAAAAGACCTACATCAGACATGAATATAGCATCTGGTTGTCCATTATTTGTCTCTCATGCTGTCTTAGAAACAAGAACATACCTGAAGGATGATACCATCTTCATTAAAGTCATTGTGGATAATGATGGTATAAATGCTCAAGGTTGAATGTAAAATGCTTCATATATCCACCTCTTCTGGACCTGGCACTGACATTTAAAAATGTTTTTGTAAGGCCACACCAATTTGATTAAAAGTTCTTTGGATTTTCCCGCTCCTGTTTTGGAGAAATTGACTTTTCAATAAAAAAAAATGATTACCGCTTCCGCCAATTTTTGGGCCGCATGCCGCTCCAAAATTAGTTTATCCTTGACATTTTTTTTTCTCTTAGACGTTTTTCTCGTGCATATATTGCTCCGAGCGATTCAAACGCACGTGTGATAAATCGATTTGTAAATAAAAGGTCAAAAATCGGGATGCCAACATGAAGTTGTGTCAGATCATTGCCGAGGACACGTAGTTATTAAACACACAGTTATTTGAAATGCATTTCGTTTTACCTGTTCTAGGAGACAAAACTAAAAAATCTTTCGTTAGATGACCACGATCACATCAGTACTTGTTAGAACCATTGTCATCCCCGATCATTGTTTCAACAGACATAGTCCGAGATAAAATTTACTCCGACGTCCAATAGCTGTTTGCTAGACAAGATGGGGGGCTGTTGCGGGGGCTGTTGTCCCACGGCCCCAGCTTGTCTGGCAAAACAGCCGTTGGACGTCAGAGTAATCTCGGACTACAACAGACATAGATATCTAGAGCTATCTGTCTTGGATGAAATTAATATTAAATTCACATGAGTTTTTGAAAAATGACAGATTTATCTTATTTTAATGAAAACTCCATATCCCCTTGTTAGTCTATTGACATGCAATCAGAACTCTTTTGTAAGGGAAAATTTAAGAGTTCCAACATTCGAGACCAAAGTGGTGGTATTGGAATTGGCATGCTTATAATAATTAGGGATGACGTGTTATTGGTGCAACCACTTCCAGTTTGAAATACATTAATTGCAGGTTTCAGGGGCAAAAGGAAAAAGTATTTTGCTAAGTCAGAATAATGCATGTGAATGTGGTTAAATGTATTCTAAGGGAATAGATATAGGAAGATGTGGTATGAGTGCCAATGAGACAACTCTCCATCCAAGTAACAATTTATAAAAGTAAACCATTATAGGTCAAGGTACGGCCTTCAACACGGAGCCTTGGCTCACACCGAACAGCAAGCTATAAAAGGGCCCCAAAAATTACTAGTGTAAAACCATTCAAACGGGAAAACCAGCTGTCTAATCTATATAAAAACGAGAAACGAGAAACACGTATGAACCACATAAACAGACGACAACTACTGTACATCAGATTCCTGACTTAGGACAGGTACAAACATTTGCAGCGGAATTAAATGTTTTAATACATTGAGATCTACATGCATAGCAATATAATTATCTTACTCAGAATGTTGTTGAAATATTCACCTCACTCATTATGTTGATCCTATTATTGATAAATAGTTCCAACTGGATGTCAAGCAGCTAATAAACACTGATCATTACCATATAATGAAAACAACTATATCAAAAGATATTTAATATTTTTCATAGGCATTTTTTTGGAATACATACACATATTTTAATTGTATTCAACACATTTCATTTACCTAACTAACATAATTCCTCTTGCTAAACTGCATCTGATATGCTTCCTTAATATATACACATGTATGCATTAAAATGAAAATTCACGCAGTCGAAGCTTATTTGACGAAAATAATCGAAATTATACAAAACCAAAGCGAACCAAAAAGTTGGGTATGGTACAGACTGTACTACAGGCACAAATACATCAATTTAAATAATATGCATAAGAGCATGTTTATCCTCCTTTTTCTTACAAGTAACCCAGTTTTAACATGTACAAATATTCTAAATCGCACAATTAAAAAAAAATTATACCGCTCGCTCCACTTGTAGAGCACCCGCCTCAACAAAACTCATTTTCAAGAAATAAATACAATCAAAATAATTTCGCTCGCTCGCCCCATATTTTTTGGAGCTTTTGTCCGAAGAACTAAAAATCAAATTGGTGTGGCCTAAGTAACTGAACTATCTGAAAAATATTCTGAGCACCCTTAACGTTAAATATTTGACTGAACAGAAATGTTAAAAAAAGTGTTGGCTATATAAAAACAAGTGTATCTCGTCAGAATTCACTTGATAGAAATAGATAAATAAATTTAAAGTGTAAGAGATGGTTATCTTTGCCTCTTCTGGAAATTATTTATGTATAAGGTATGATTTATTTGTAATAACAGATAAGTAACAGGAAAATCTATTGTTTCTTATTTTATATACCATTTTATTACATACAGTATTACATATCTACAATCTACCTCATTTAATTTATTATTTATTTTTTATTATTTACAGTTTTATTTATTAGGCTTTTTACAAATCTTTTTTTTTTTTATTTTATTTGAACACTCAGACACAGATACATGTGTAACATGAGGTCATTAATAATAGCATTACATAAACATTACAGAGTAAACATGTGGTATCAATAATATAGATATAGCATATAGTAGATATAACAATAATATACAAATATGTTTTTCAACATTTTCAGAACATATTTGCAATGTTTTTGATAAAAACAGAAAGTCGTTTATACAGTTGTACATTACATATTGAAAGCAGACCTTCCATTTTTTTATAATTAGAATTCACTGTGTAGTAGCTTGGTAGAAACTTTTCCCTTAAAACAACAATATTTTGATCAGAACATTTAAATAACAAATGAAATTCATCACCAATATTACTCCTAAAACAAATATATATCATTATTAGAGAAGGTAAAACTCTTAGCTCCTAGGTGATGGAAATTTCCTCTCCAGGCTGGCACTCATGAACATGATATCTCTGTTATATAACACCAAATATCAATAGCGATGGTTAAGTTAAACATTCCAAATTCAATTCCATTATTCTCCCTCTTCAAAACTTAAAACTTTGATTAAGCATACAGTTGATTGGAAGTTGCCTAGATTTTTAAATAAAAGCGTTTATGTTTTGGCAAATACCACAAAAGAGAGAGTAAAAAAGGCATATCCTTGGGCATATACCCATGGAGACCATATGATATGAACAATATTCATCTTATAAAAGAAATTTCATGAAAAAAACAAACACTAGTTATTAACCAATCAAAATTCAGTATACATGTGTAAGGTGTAATTACGATAAAAACAATTTCATTCAGTTCAATCGGAAAAAAGATCAGTTCCAAGTTACTAAAATGTTGACACTAGTGTGGTGCCAAATTTTAAAATTTTAATTAATTACATAATTGAGAAAATAAAAACGTCTTCCTGCTGACAAAAAGTATGCTATCACAACTATGACAAATAAGGGGGCCTATTTCATTAGTATACTCTGATCATATAACACCATTCTGATCATATTGAAAAAAAAAACCTTTCTGATCATATAAATACCATCTGATCATACAAATACCATTTGGTCATATGAAACAAAAACATTATGTCTGACTATATAACAAAAAAAAAATTATCAGAATATAATTTTAGTGAAAATTTGACATATATAGGCTTATGACGTAGTTGTACAAATCTATATTATGTATTTAAAAAAAATAGTAACCAGTAACTACTAAACAGCAAAGAAAATAAATTAAGCATTGAAAAACAAACATCATTCAATGTATATAAATTGAATAAAAGAATATAACTTTAACAAGATAAACTAATGTCATTTTAAAGGTAGTGTCTTTATAATCGTCAGATATTTTATATGGAAGATAGAATGGCGATGGGTGATATTTGATAATATTTTAATGTATCGATATAAATCAGAATGAAACAAAGTGTTGCTCATAATTGCTGAAAACTGAAATTGATTTGTAGATTGAAAAAAATGACTATGGTGGACAGGAGGACATCTATATGAAACAACAACCCAAAATTATATCACTTGAACTGGGGTCAGGAAGGGGTATTGCTTTTTTGCTATAGTTTTCAAGGATATCATTAAAAAAATTCAGTATGTAATTCATAAGCTAGCAAGTACATGCTAAATGGTTTTTTTTTTAGAAAAAACAAAATTTTGTATAATTAATTTGGCCTTGAAATTTGGATTGTTTTATGGGAATTTTTTGTAAAAGACCTCTTTTCTGCATCAGTGGCAACTTTCCATGAATTATGACTGAAGTATGATTTGATTTTTAGTCTATTTTATGGGTGTTGTCATTGCTTGCATATTCTGCATTGTTCAAGTTGCAAAGCTGTTATTCATAGATTAGTTTTTAAGTTGAATGGTACTTGGTTTTCAATTATTTAATCTATGTAAATGTTGAATTGATTAACATATATTAGGTACTAATATTTAATGGTTACATTATTTGCTTAGAGGTTATAGCTTTTTCCTGGAAATAGTAAAAATGTTTATATCTTGGTATATAACAGCTGTATTAGTGTGGAATTTTTGACACATAAGGGTAGGTACATTCTTCCATTATGTATATACCAGGAGAAGCTAGATTCATGTATTCTTGTATCACCTTCTGATTTCGATTTTCGATTCCATATAAAACACAGAAGGATTAGTATCTTCTTCAATTACGTATTTACCTTGAGATTCTAGATATGTTACAGCTGTTGTTGTACTTGTGTGTTGTCATTCAATTTCAATTTTCGATTCCTCATTAAATACAAAAGGGTTGGGATCTTCATCCATTGTGTATACACTTTGAGGTGCCTATAGATGCACTTTATATTTTGATATAATGTTAACTTCATTGATAGATGAACATATAAATTGTATTTCTTATTACTTTTGGAAAGAGGAATTGCTATCAGAAATGATTTTAGGAAGTTTTGACTAGAGCTTAGTCGACATGAGTAGAGATGTAAAAAGCTTGGTAGATTGTAGATATGTAATTCCTGGGTGCAGTGAGACAAATATTAGATATTTTTATTTCTGTTTTGTTTGGAAGATTTCTCTGTTCTTTCAGAAGAAATTCTTAAGTTTTTGATAATTTGATAATAAACATATTTTATGTGTTTTGTTTGGAATATTTCTCTGTTCTTTAAGAAGAAATTCCTAAGTTTTTGATAATTTGATAATAAACATGTTTTATGTAAGACAAATTTAATTTATTCAAGATAGAAATATACTGTATTGTAAACTTATCATAAATGTATATAGCTTTCAGGGATTTTTATCATATTTCGTGTAATGTCTTGTTTTAATCATGCTATTGTTTCAGCATGATTATATTGTAATGTAACTTCAGTCTTTTCCATAACATTTAAGTTTAACATGATTATATTTTTATTCTATATTTAGTCTTGAATTATACATTTAATCAATTAATAAATTACAATTTAAAGACAATGTAACATCATATAGCAAAATTGTCTGAAAGAGGTTGAAATTCTTATGATAAATCATTTCAGAAATTAGAGATGTTTAAATTTATGAAATAGTATTAACTTAACATCCCTTTACATATATGGGTAATTTTCAAAAAATGTTCCATTTTGAAATTGCAAACTGAATAAAAGTTAACCACCCTTTTATGAGCAAAATCAAATTAAACAATACTTTTGGAACAATATATAAAAAAATACAATCTTAATAATGTCAAAAAATAATATATTGAAACATTTTTGATAGGTGATGCAACGTTTTGTCTCTCCTGTTGCCACATTCAAAAGGAGTTTTCAGCTCTTTAGATAAAGTCTTGATTTTCTTGGCCATATGGTAGTTTTCAAGAACAAAACTTATTTATATTTTCTTTCTGTGTATTGATAGATTGTTTGTCAATTTCCCATTTTGTACCAAAAAATACCTGGAAAAAAATGGTTTTCAGATGTTATTAAACATTAGTCTGAGATAGCAATTCATAATGTTCAGTACTTTTTTTCTCTTTCTAAACCCAACATCAAGTAATTCCATCGTATGTTGTTTTACTTATGTCATTTTGTTTGTTATATCACCATGCATAATATGTTCTATCCTGTTACCCATTTTGTCTATCCTGTTACCTACAGTAATATTGCATTTTGTATGTGCTAAATTATGAAGAGAAGGACCTTGAAACCTTTAAATGAGTTCAAATAACTAAACATTTCATTATTTGTTAAAAATATGTTATATGGTTTTTGAAGACGTTTCAGTCAAATATTGTCTATCACGTTACTGTAACGATAGTAACAGGATAGACAAATTTTTTAATGCTGTTGTGAAATAACTGCTCCCTTTTATGCAGTGATAATGTTTTTCTTCTGTGGTCTTGGTTTCCAACATGTAATTGCACTTTTTACAAGAATAATATTGTTGTCATTAATAAATTTATTTGTAACAAGATAAAATGGTACACACTTAATTTTTTTTCACTCAATGTCTTGAATTTTCTCTTCTCTACACTGTTATGCAAGAAACATCCTGCGTTCAATTTTAAGATGCTTTGTGCTTTTGAAATCATCACTGAAAAGTTCCATATTCATATGGAGAAACAATTTAATGGTTGATCAAGTATTGTAACAGGATAGATATGCATTTCACGAATGCAGATTGAATTTAGTTTGTAGAAAAAATATTTAAAAAATTTTACACTCTGATTAGGGGAGGGTTGTTACAAACATGTAACCCCTCCACATTCTGTATGCGCCTGTCCCAAGTAAGGAGCATGTAATTCAGGGGTAGTTGTTTCTTGCTGTATATCATATTTGTTTTTCATCTAATTTTTTTGTACATAAATCAAGGCCATTAGTTATCTCGTTTGAATTGTCATTTTGGGAAATTTATAGCTTACTATGGGTTTATTGCACTTTGTTTAAGGTCATACGGTGGGTGACCTATAGTTGAACTTCTACGTCATTTGGTCTCTAGTGGAGAATTCTCATTGGCAATTATACTACATCTTCTTATTTCTAAATTTATAAAAAATATTGTTGATTTGAATAGGAGCAGAACTATTTATTTTCTTTTTTGCATTATTTTGCACCTTTAATATACCTATAGAAAAATGTTTAAATGGTGAGATGTAGTTTTGTTTACAAACAGCCTGACTTTGCAATAAAAACTATTTTGAAAGTTTTATTTATATTTCAAATTATTTGAGAATTAAAATCTTGTTTTGTTTATTTTAATGATTATAACAATGAGCTCTTCAACAGTCAATTCCCTTGAAAGTATAGGATCCCTAATTATATAACTATATGAATAATTGATCACCAGTAAAATAAAGTGATGATTAAATGTATATAATTACAAATAAAACATTGTATATGATTTGAATTTATTATAAATTCTATATAATATCTAGGGCTAACAGATAAACTTGTTAGTTTTAGACTGGAGCAGGAGTAACTTACCATACACATGTATGTCATGTTAAAATGTGACATGTTCGTGCTGATATAGTCATAACATGTCATGATCATGAATGAGCAAGAAAGAAGTTTTCATTAAAGTATTTCTACAGGACTCAGTGATTTGTTGTTAAGTATAGGAGTACAAGTCTTATTGGAATGAATAAAGAGACTGTTTGTATTTTATTCCATATAAGCATATGATAAAATTAATGGTTGCAGGAAACTACAGCATGTGCTTTATGTGATTTATTTGAAAGTTCACAACAACAATTTTGTATTGTGTTAGAAACTGGCAAAATCAATAAACTCGCAAATGACTGAGGTCATTGGGAGTATTGGATGCAGAGGATCATTGGAGTATAGGATGCAGAGGATCATTGGAGTATAGGATGCAGAGGATCATTGGAGTATTGGATGCAGTTAAAATAAACATTGTACAATTAACATTTATAAAGTAAAAAAGATTTGGAAGAATATTAGTTTATTTAATGCACTTGATAATGAAAATATATACAATATAACATTGAAATGATTTACTTTGTTGATTATATATATAAATGTTTGTGGTACAAAGAACCAATACAATTTGAAATAAATATGTATTATAAATAGTTAAGAGGCATGTTGCTTTGATGGTTTATGTGGTTATGTATGTAATGGGGAAAAAAAACTACAATGAGCAATGACCAAATAATATATCCATGTAACAAAGTTACTTGGGGTATAATGTTTTTGACCCGCCTGTCAGTCCTGTTCTTGTCATCTCAACTCGTCTTAAACCACACAACAGAATTTCATGAAACTTTGTAGATAATAAGTACATACTATGTAGATGTGCATATCAACAGGAATATAAAAAAGAAGATGTGGTATGATTGCCAATGAGACAACTCTCCACAAGAGACCAAATGACACAGAAATTAACAACTATAGGTCACCGTACGGCCTTCAACAATGAGCAAAGCCCATACCGCACAGTCAGCTATAAAAGGCCCCGAAATGACAATGTAAAACAATTCAAACGAGAAAACTATGATGAATGTATGATTCAATTTTTCTCATCACTTGGCGTCCGTCGTCCGTCGTCGTCGTCGTTAGCTTTTTACAAAAATCTTCTCCTCTGAAACCACTGGGCCAAATTTAACCAAACTTGGCCACAATCATCATTAGGGTATCTAGTTTTAAAAATGTGTCCGATGACCCCGCCAACCAACCAAGATGGCCGCCATGGCTAAAAATAGAACATAGGGGTAAAATGTAGATTTTGGCTTATATCTCTGAAACCAAAGCATTTAGAGTAAATCTGACATACGGTAAAACTGATTATCAGGTCAAGATCTATCTGCCCTGAAATTTTCAGACAAATCTGACAACCTGTTGTTGGGTTGCTGCCCCTGAATTGGTAATTTTAAGGAAATTTTGCAGTTTTTGGTTATTATCTTGAATATTATTATAGATAGAGATAAACTGTAAACAGCAATAATGTTCTGCAAAGTAAGATCTACAAATAAGTTGTCATGACCAAAATTGTCAGTCATGCCTTATGTTATAAAAATTCTGTCTGTCATATGTTTATTGTCCTTTACTCAATTTTCATGGTTCAGGGACTGCTTAAATATTTTAAAGGTTTTTTGTTATGTGAATTTCTCATTTATTGTGAGTTACAGGTTAACGACATTTGGTGTATGGAATCCTTGCAAAGTCTACATGTCCTTCAAACAGGGTTCACCTTGACCTCATTTCATGGATCATTGATCAAGGAGTATTATAAGTACAGTACATTTTAAGTCTTGCTCATATAAATATCCATATCCGACTAGAAGTCGACATTTGCCCGACTGTGATATTTATCACCGGTGTAATAACTTGCTGGAAGGTCGTAAATTAATCTGTAGCTGTGATTGATAAATTTTTAATCTTACCAGCTAAATCAATTGATCAACTATATTAGGTGTTTTATTGATTGATTGGTGTTTGTTTTATTCCGCCTTAGCACAAAAAGGCTATATCGCGGCGATATTAGGTGTTTGCAATGATTGTAAGGTGTTTATGTCCCTTAGGCAGATTTCATCTGACATTTACCTTATTAGTCCCCTACTGACGAAGTCGAAGGGGACTTTAGGTTTGCACTCTGTCCGTCTGTCTGTCTGTGTCTGTCTGTCCGTCTGTCCATCTGTCTGTCTGTCTGTCTGTCTGTTTGTCTGTCTGTCTGTTTGTCTGTCTGTCTGTCAGTCCGGCAAATCATTTTACCAGACTTCTTTTCTTCCTGCTTGAAGATATTGATTTGATATTTGGTTTATTGATTTATCATGACAAGTTACAGGTCAAGTTAAATTTTCACGATTTTAGCTTTTCTTTTTGTTCAGTTAAAGCCCTTTCCCTAGAATTAAATTTTTGATGAAATACTTATCAATTAGATTTCTGTTCAAAGGGAAATAACTCATTTTTTAAAAGACAAAATGACAATTTGGATTTTTTTCCTTTTCTTTGGTAAATTGTTTGAAGAATTTAGTGGTAGGTTTGTTTGTCATTCTTGAAGATATTGATTTGATAATTAGTATATAGTTTTATCATGACAAGTTACAGATCAAGTTGGAATTTTGTTACAGTCTGATAATTTTGTGCAGAGTTATGGTCTCAAAAACATAGAAAATTCACTTAAATAATCAGTTTTCAACAGTTTTTTTCGTCATGCTTGAAGATTTTGGCTTGATATTTTATGTAGTTAACACCATGACAAGTTATAGATCAAGTTAGAATTTCGTTCCATTACAATGAATTTGTAACCGGTAGGGGACTATGTATTGCCATGCAATACTCACAGAATTCTTGTTTTCATTGGTTCAGGCATCGGTCAATGTTAAGTATTTAACATTGTGGTTTGTTCTGTTTTTCATTCACTTTAAGCAATAGGTAAACTATATTTGGTGTAAAGAACAATTGTAATGTAATGTGTACAGGTCCATCTTGCATGGTTCATATGACCCCCACCTCAGGTTCATGGCTGATTTGTCAATCAATGTTAAGTTTTCGTGTTATGGTATTTTAGCTGTTCATCTGACCTTGACCCGTATGGGCATTTTGAGCTATTGCCACCACTTGGTATCCCTCACAATCGTCATTGTATGATTTTTTTTTAAATCTGAATTTACCTGTCAATCTTCAACCAAACTTTGGCCGATTGTGTTTCTTATTCCCATCTATCAACAAACGTGGACACCATGGCTTGATATGGTCTATTATCTTGAATACCATACCTGCCAACTTTTCAAAATCTCCATGGGGGATTTTAAGCGCAAGAGGACCTAGCGCTCCTCTTATATTGTCATAAGTGTCCTTAGTCTACTACTATATTGTTTGTATGAGTATATTTGTGCTTAAATACCATTTTAACTCATTTAAATGCCTGTTTTGAGGTCTCCAGTTTAAATAATAAAGAATTTCAAAATTCAGGTCAACTCCTCTTATGGGGGATATCCCTCATAAGTCTGGATAGTTGGCAGGTATGGAATACCTTGAAAACATAATTGATACACAAAAATATGACCGGGCTATAACGCTCACCTACCTACTTCCCATTTTTATGGTGATACCGTTGGATTAGTCCTTATAGAAATCTGAGACTATTATAACACTTGTGTTATAGTAGTCTCAGTAGAAATCATCTCCCTTAAATGACGATTTTTTTTTTACTAATTTTAACTCCGTCGTCGAAGGCACATTACAATTATTCTATTGATCAACATTATCAAGCTGCAGACCAAATATTTAATCATTCCCTCTCTAGATGACAAGAAAACTTTGACGAAAATTTCCCTTGTACAATGCGTAAAACTATCGGCAAGCAGGAAGTGGCAACATGGCAGATGTAAAAATTGCTTACCCGCTACAACTCAAACATTATTGATCGTTATTAAACTGCAGACCAAATATTCAATCATTTCATCGCATAGAAGCCAAGAAAACTTTGACGAAAATTTTTAATCGGACGGACGGAGTCGAGCGGTTACCAGACCTGCTTCCGACCGTCTTTGGCGACGCAGGTAACAAGGTTGTACTTTAATTATTGTCTTCATGGTGTAAATTATGATTGTTGATAGGCGGAATATGTGAAAATTCTTATTACCATTATGCAGTATTCCTGTTTTGACTGGTTTGAAAAGGTGGATGTAGCAACACCACACAGAGTAAAAACCTGTATACCATGCGGGAGCTGTGGGTTGGAAATAACGTCCTTAAAAGATATTGGTTTAGCCGAGTTGCGAAAAAATCGAGCTCGGTTTATGAGATGACGATTACCGTCCGTATGACCGGTTGTTGGGACGAAATCGAGCTCGGTTTATAAGATGGCGAATGCCGTCTGTATGTCCGGTTGTTGGGACGTCAACATTCCGGAACCCGAACACATCTTTGTGAACCATAAACAATATCTTTATTAAATACGTAGTTTGATGATACCCTGTTGGGTGAGGAAAAATTCTATTGATTTTGTTGTCAAAGGTCAAAATCACAGCAGCTTTTGATTGACCAAACCTTGGGTATAAAAAGAGAGTCGAAAGATACCAAAAGGACATTCAAACTCAAGTCGAAAATAAACTGACAACACCATGGCTAAATAAAGAAAAAGACAAACAACAGTACACAAAACTTAAGACTGAGCAACACGAACCCAACCAAAAACTGGGGGTGATCACAGGTGCTCCGGAAGGGAAAGCAGATCCTTCTCTCCACATGTGGCACCCGTCGTGTTGTTCATCTAAGTGCAAACTCGGTGATATGTCTAATTACGTAGGTCACATTCAAGGAAAAGGGGACGGGATTATAGTTACGACAATTGGAACATATCCGTCGTCATCTGTGAAACAGATATTCCATAACGGCCAACCAACTCGTGATGGCGTCCGTAAAGTTTACGAAGGGATGATTTCAACTTCATCACTTGGAACTCTTGGTTTAATAGCTTCCTTGTGAGCAGTAACCTACTATAAAGGAAATCATGATAGGAAATACAAGCCCTGGAATATCGTATCAACAGGGAGATATATACTCCGTATGCAGCCGCTGCTGGGATGATGCTACATAGAAATGGAAAGTTCACAATTGCGAAGCTGAATTCATCTCTTTTGTCGTAAAGTTTTGTTTTCAACCAACCCTCATTGTAAATTTGTAGATGTAAGTCAAGATATGAAGCAGACTTAACTGTATCTGTTTTAACCTTTATCTCAAGTTCGATGGGATAGATGCGTTCAACATTGTCATCAAATTTTGAATTATTTAGTGAGAGATCATTGTGTTACCACTAATTACTTAAATCCTTTACTAAATTCTTCCATAGATACAAAGATTTGGTTTACATGTTTGGCAGTACCTGTAAAAAACTTATTTCAGATGGAATTCCACATCCTAAATTTTACGGTGATGTTGTTTACCGAGCGCCCGGAAATTTATAAACGACCCGGGTAAACTTATCAATCCTTTAAATAAATTTATTCTGAAAGGTTACCAATTCAACACTGTAATTAGATCTTTGAATATTGTTTTTATTGATATAAATATTGATTATGTTATCAGTAAATTAAAACCGTACTAGAGAGTAGTGTTATACACATATGCACT